TGTGTGTGTGTGTGTGTGTGAGAGAGAGAGAGAGAGAGAGAGAGACCATGGACCACAAAACCATTCATAAGGCTAAATATTTTGAAATTGCAATTTATATATCATCTGAGTAAATAAGCTTTCCACTGATGTATGGTTTGTTAGGATAGGACAATATTTGGCTGAGATACAACTATTTGAAAATGTGGAATCTGAGTGTGCACAAAAATCAAAATACTGAGCAAATCGTCTTTAAAGTTGTCCAAAAAAGGTCCTTAGCAATGCATATTACTAATCAAAAATTAAGTTTTAATATATTTACAGTAAGACATTTACTAAATAGCTTCATGGAACATGATCTTTACTTAAATATCCTAATGATTTTTAGCATAAAAGAAAAATCGATAATTTTGACCCATACAATGTTTTTTTGGCTATTGCTAAAAATATACCCCAGCGACTTAAGACTGGTTTTGTGGTCCAAGCAAATGAACTTGTGGTTGGTTAGCTCATTTGCTTTTTTTGGTCATGTCAGTCAGACGATCTTTATTTGGCTGAGATACAACTATTTGAAAATGTGGAATCTGAGTGTGCACAAAAATCAAAATACTGAGCAAATCGTCTTTAAAGTTGTCCAAAAAAGGTCCTTAGCAATGCATATTACTAATCAAAAATTAAGTTTTAATATATTTACAGTAAGACATTTACTAAATAGCTTCATGGAACATGATCTTTACTTAAATATCCTAATGATTTTTAGCATAAAAGAAAAATCGATAATTTTGACCCATACAATGTTTTTTTGGCTATTGCTAAAAATATACCCCAGCGACTTAAGACTGGTTTTGTGGTCCAAGCAAATGAACTTGTGGTTGGTTAGCTCATTTGCTTTTTTTGGTCATGTCAGTCAGACGATCTTCCTGTGTAAGTTATTTGTTCTTGTGCAGAAGAAGCTGCGATGTGGACCAGGCTATATGCCGTTTAGTCAAAGTCTGACTATGCGAGACTGCTTATATGGTGATGAGTATGGGGTATGCAGCGTGCTGTGTGAGTATGTGTGTAGGCAGATAGGGCAGGTAATGTGCAGGAGTGACATAGAGGGTGTCATCATTCTCATGCTGACTCACTAACCCCAGCCTTCCTTTCCCCCTCCTTTCTTCTTCTCTGGTGCACTGCATATATGCACAACAGGAAGGTTCTGCACAGTCAAGAGATAATCAGGAGTCACGTGCAGGCCCAGACAGAATCAGAATTTTTCACCTGTTATGCATTAGTTTTGGTGGAGGAATTGATTTAAACATAGTAAAATGTGTTAACGAAGCTGAGCGTACTATGCTTTTATTTGTAGCTGAAAGCAAATTATCCAAAAAAATGTATCATGTATGAACATACAGCAAACTGAGAATGTGTTAGTTTCATGTACCCGAACAGGATAGCAAAAAGTCTTGTCTTAATGGCAGCTTATTCTGACCAAGAACCACCTACTAAGATGGGAAAACAGTCTGAGCATGTGTAATGTGACCAACCATAGTTAAATTTTTATGTTTTAGAGCCAGGGGTCATCTGAAAAAGACATACAAATAAAAAAAAAAACGATAACAGTGGTGAGACTGTCTCCTCCATTAATGGTTGTACAGACTACAGGAGGATGTCTGTCCATCCAAAATTAATAAACATTGTTAAATTGAAAGAAGTGTTCACCAATACTACATTTATTTTATCAAAAATACAGTTAAAATAAGAAAAAAAACTCATGAATATTATTACAATTTAAAATAACTTTTATATTTTAATATATTTTAAAATATAATTTATTACAGTGATTTTCAAAAAAACATTTTTATTATTATCAATGACAAAAACAGTTGTGCTGTTTAATATTGTGATACATTTTTCAAAATGCAATACATTTGAAAGTTCAAAAGAACAGCATTTATTTGAAATAGGAATCTTTTGTAACTTTATAAATTTATTTACTGTATTTTTAGATCAGTTTAAAGCATCATTGCTCAATAAAAGTATTT